CTCTTAAAAGACAATCCAGCAAGGATCATCGTTTATTTTTGTATCTTGAATAATCTAAGATCATTTCTGATTGTTTATTATGGGGAGAAGAAGGGGAAGGGGGGGGGGGGGAGGGGTTTGACATACCGCTAAGAATCAAGTCACTATTATATAATTTCATCCATTTATATTCCTCTACAGCTGAGGTATAATTATATATATATATATTTTTTTTTAATTGACAGCACAAATTTGTAAACGTACTGTTAACTGTTCTCACACGAATTGTTTGTAATATAAAATGGTGTACGCATATGATTGTCATTGTTGATGTGACTGTTATAGTTGTGATAATTGTTGCATGTTTTAGTATTGAAAGAAGCATCAATTTATCTTGTCTGTGTGCACAGATCATGGAGCTGGTTGAGGACGAGGATGACCAGGACAGACCCAAACCTCCAAAGAAACAGGTCAACTTTCGAAAGGAAATGCTTCGTTACCAGAGTTTGAAGTGAGTAAGATTGTGCTATGTTCCCCAGTGGGTTCCAGGTCCCAATTTCGTAGAATATAGACCCACTGTCACACCCCACACCTTACTGCCCCACACCCCACACCTTACAGCCCCACACCTTACTGCCCCACACCCCACTGCCCCACACCTTACTGCCCCACACCCTGCCCCACACCTTGCTGCCCCACACCTCACTGCCCCACACCTTACTGCCCCACACCTTACTGCCCCACACCTGACTGCACCACTCCCCACACCTTACTGTCCCATACTCCACTGCCCCACACCTTACTGCCCCACACCTTACTGCCCTACACCCCACAACTTACTGCCCCACACCCCACTGCCCCACACCTTACTGCCCCACACCTTACTGGCCCACACCCCACACCCCAATGCCCTACGCCCCACACCTTACTGCCCTACATCCCACTGCCCTACACCCCACTGCCCTACACCCCACGCCCTACACCCCACGCCCTACACCTTACGCACTACACACCACGCCCTACACCCCACTGCCCTACACCCCACTGCCTTACACCCCACTGCCCTACACCCCACTGCCTTACACCCCACGCCCTACACCCCACTGCCCTACACCCCACTGCCTTACACCCAACTGCCCCACGCCCCACTGCCTTACACCCCACTGCCTTACACCCCACTGCCTTACACCCCACTGCCTTACACCCCACGCCCTACACCCCACGCCCTACACCCCACTGCCTTACACCCCACTGCCTTACACCCCACTGCCTTACACCCCACTGCCTTACACCCCACTGCCTTACACCCCACTGCCTTACACCCCACTGCCTTACACCCCACTGCCTTACACCCCACTGCCTTACACCCCACTGCCTTACACCCCACTGCCTTACACCCCACTGCCTTACACCTAACTGCCTTACACCCCACTGCCTTACACCCCACTGCCTTACACCCCACTGCCTTACACCCCACTGCCCTACACCCCACGCCCTACACCCCACTTCTGCTTACACCCCACTGCCTTACACCCCACTGCCCCACGCCCCACTGCCCTTACACCCCACTGCCTTACACCCACTGCCCCCACCCCACTGCCTTACACCCCACTGCCTTACACCCCACGCCCTACACCCCACTGCCTTACACCCCACTGCCCTACACCCCACTGCCTTACACACCCACTGGCCTTACACCCCACTGCCTTACACCACACTGCCTTACACCCACTGCCCTACACCCCCCACTGCCTTACACCCCACTGCCTTACACCCCACTGCCCTTACACCCCACTGCCTTACACCCCACTGCCTTACACCCCACTGCCTTACACCCCACTGCCTTACACCCCACTGCCTACACCCCACTGCCTTACACCCCACTGCCTTACACCCCACTGCCTTACACCCCACTGCCCTACACCCCACTGCCCTACACCCCACTGCCTTACACCCCACTGCCTTACACCCCACCCCTACTGCCCTTACACCCCACTGCCTTACACCCCACTGCCTTACACCCCACCCTGCCTTACACCCCACCTACACCCCACTGCCTACACCCCACGCCCTACACCCCACTGCCTTACACCCCACTGCCCTACACCCCACTGCCCCACGCCCCACTGCCACCCCACTGCCCTACACCCCACTGCCCTACACCCCACGCCCTACCCCCACTGCCTTACACCCCACTGCCCTACACCCCACTGCCTTACCCCACTGCCCACACCCGCCTTACCCCACTACACCCCACTGCCTTACACCCCACTGCCCTTACACCCCACTGCCTTACACCCCACTGCCCTACACCCCACTGCCCTACACGCCCACTGCCTTACACCCCACTGCCTTACACCCCACTGCCCTACACCCCACTGCCCTTACACCCCCACTGCCTTACTGCCCCACACCCCACTGCCCCCCACACCTTACTGCCCCACACCCCACTGCCTTACCCCACGCCCTTACACCCCACTGCCTTACACCCTTACTGCCCCACACCCCACTGCCCCACACCCCACTGCCCCACCCCACTGCCCTACACCCCACTGCCCTACACCCCACTGCCCTACACCCCACTGCCCTACACCCCACTGCCCTACACCCCACTGCCTTACACCCCACTGCACCAAAAAGCATGTCGTAGGATACGGCTAACTGAGGGTGTTCGCTTCAAGTTTGTCTGACTGAGAGACAAGGAAACAACAATCTGCACACAGATAAAGTCATATCTGTAAAGCGGACGTGCGCGCACAAGTCAACTTCTGGAGCGAGAAGTGAACTAACACCCAGAACTTTCCGATTGAGTTTACAGCTGGGAATTGTGTATAAGAAGAATAAAAAGAAGTACTGGTTGCGCCTGTCTATATGCCTTCTATATGCTTGTCTGTTGTATGCCTTCTCTATATGCTTGTCTGTTGTATGCCTTCTCTATATGCTTGTCTGTTGTATGCCTTCTCTATATGCTTGTCTGTTGTATGCCTTCTCTATATGCTTGTCTGTTGTATGCCTTCTCTATGCCTTGCTATATGCTTGTCTGTTGTATGCCTTCTCTATATGCTTGTCTGTTGTATGCCTTCTCTATATGCTTGTCTGTTGAATGCCTTCTCTATATGCTTGTCTGTTGTATGCCTTCTCTATATGCTTGTCTGTTGTATGCCTTCTATATGCTTGTCTGTTGTATGCCTTCTTCTATATGCTTGTCTGTTGTATGCCTTCTATATGCTTGTCTGTTGTATGCCTTCTCTATATGCTTGTCTGTTGTATGCCTTCTATATGCTTGTCTGTTGTATGCCTTCTCTATATGCTTGTCTGTTGAATGCCTTCTATATGCTTGTCTGTTGTATGCCTTCTCTATATGCTTGTCTGTTGTATGCCTTCTCTATATGCTTGTCTGTTGTATGCCTTCTCTATATGCTTGTCTGTTGTATGCCTTCTCTACATGCGTGTCTGTATCTTTTTCATTTACACTATATGGCTGCTCTTCTGGCAGTTCTCAGCATTATATACCGTTAAGGTATTTTGTTTCCTGATTTGATTTGGGTCGTTGCACCAGATAGTTCCCCAGCTTCTATTCTTCTTTGTGCCAACCATATATCGATTGAGGTTTTTTGCACTTGGGGTTAGCTTTATTGCCTGTTGGTGGTGTGAAACAGAAAGCAGAAAAACGTTATTTGACACTGTGATTTATGTGGGAAATTGTCTACATCTTAACTTTTTAATCACGTAATTTTTTTTTTAAATTGGCGGAGGAAAATGGGAAGGGAGGGGTGGGGGGAACAAAGGGGCGGGGGCGGGGGGTCCTTAGTATATATATTAAAGGGATGCCAGGTGAAACACATCGGCCACCGGGTCGACCATTGGCTAACCGGTAGACGATTTTGTCGCCGGTCGGGACAGTATGGAGGTTTGAGTTCCCTTGATCTCGTCAACACTGCCGGCGTTCTTTTTCATGTCTCTTGGCGTGCAATGCTTAGCTATTTTTTGTGTGTGTGTGGCGCACATAATCTAGTCACAATTATAACCTTAAGCTTCCCCCTTTGGGGTTGATGGTTGAACGTGACGATTTGTTTCTTTTCGTCAAGCAACGGAAGGACGGTGAAACTTACTGAAAACTATTCTGGAGACAAGACCATCTTGGGCTGTCTTGCAAGTTACCTCTCCTTTCCTTGCCTGCATCATCCAATCTGTCCCACCAAATTGACAAATACCAATCTGCTCGCATCGATCACCCGCATTTCATTTGTATTTGTTAAACTACTAAAAAAATTGTGGAAATAAAGAAGGAGAAAAAAAAAGTCGAAACAAGATAAAAAAAAAGACCAGATAATTAATTTCAATCATTTAGAGACTTGAACCATTTGGACAGACTCAAAAAGTAACGGTCCTTTAAAACGTCGTAAGAGAATAATTTGCACGTTGCCGCAATCCAAGTCACAGAATGAGAAGTTTTCAGCAATGGAATTAAATGAAAAGCTTAATTAAAAAAAAGTACTCTGTGTGTGTGTGTGTGGGGGGGGGGGGGGTGGGGGGAGTAGAATAAGAGAACGTGGTTACAGATGATGGTGTAATAAATACAGGGTCATCGAGATTGTTTGTCGGCTTAATTGAATACGGGATAGTCTATGTTGGAGAGGTGTCGCGTTGTCTTGGCGCCAGTTGCATCAGCGCCGATGTCGCGGACTACATGACGTCACAGCTTTTAACGAGACCAGAACATCTAGAACATCTACAACCTCAGCCTAAGTCCCACGAGAGAATCCAGAGCACATCCCGTGGTTTGAGAATTGTTAACATTTTCCACTCCTGCCTAAAAACCCGTTTTGCTGCAGAAAAGCAACTCTCTTCTCCTCGTCGCTCGTCAGCGCTGACAGTCGACCTAAATTCATGCCGTACCTGAAGCCGGTAATATACTCTATCTCGCCGCCCGCTCGAAACCACCAGTAAAACACACTGCGTAGTTCCCCCTCCCTCCCTATATACGCACCATATAAAATACAAGACATTGTGTCACCCCTCTAACATAGACTAGCCTGCGTCACAGGTGACAAGCAGGAATAAAAGCCCAATTACGCTTTTTGGGCCGGAAAACGTAAATATGACTTTATAAACTGCTATAATAAAATACATATATAATGGTTGGCCACTTTCATTTAAGCTCACCCCAAACACGGGAAACTCCGGAATTTCAGGGAAAGCCCAATATTATAGGGGTGTTAGGATTAAGGTTTGCTTTAGGGTTCGTCGGTGTCCATTTCACACCACATCACTCCGATAATGTAGGACTTACCAGAGAATTCAGGGGTTTTGGGGTGACCTAAAATGAAAGTAGCTTTTAACCGACTCACATGTGCGGTGTCTTAATATGTTTAGAAAATGTTTAGACTTACCGTACTGCACTTCGTTATGGGCAACATTTGTAGCTCTCGTGATGTCTAGAAAATATTCAATCTCCTGGAACGTATTCTCTGTCGTGTCCACCGTTATAGTTGCAATTGCTGCAGCGAC